GAAATGATGTTGTTGTATACAACATTTTTTTAATGTCCTAATGGAAAATGTTTCGCTGTATAACTTCTAGGAAATTTAGCCCTACTATGGGATCACATATAAACTGGGCACTTAATTTTTATTGCCTTGTTGATTAAGTTGATTACATTATGACTGCTAGTAATTTTTCATCAAAACAAGAGGCTGTTTTACCATATCTTTTCTTTTGCTTCTCTAGAGTGCACTGTAAAGTATCACATGTAGACAGAGGACCATTATTAAGTGGTGGCATTTGTGCTTGTAAGTTTAACCCAAAATAAATTTGCCATAAACCAACAATAAAATGGAATATAATGCTGTCATTAAATAAGTGGATTTTGCCACAGTGAACTAGTGAAAAGAGGAATCTTAGAGGTATATTGGGTGAAAAACAGGTAATATGTAAAGTTTATGTTATTGAGCCTCCTCAATGTGCACATGTGTTACTTGACAGCGCTTTGGGGTTCCTGCAATCACAAACATGGGCAGCTAAACAAAAGTAACAATGAAATAGGCACAGAGACTCTGCTGATGTCAATGCGTGTGTACAGACCCTGCTTCCCTAGCCAAAAATCCCACTTTACTTTTAGGTCTTTACTTTCATCCTACTCACTCTAACCACAGAGAGAATCCCTTGTAATTTCAAGGATGATATTAGAGTAAAAATGGGCTATATTGCACTAATTTGAAGAATAACTACAATAATTCTTCCTCGTGCAGTTAGAATATGCCCAGCGAGCTCTGCTGGTTCATGTGTGGGCACTTTCATGCTTGCATTTCTGTGCAAAGCTGTAACCCTGGGAGCTATTCTGGTATTCACCATGACCATCTCTGTGTTCTTCCAGTGTTTTGATGTGAAGCTGTTTTTAGATCTGCTTGCAAGTCTCTGAATCAGCAGCACAAGAGAATTAACTGCTTTCAGTGATTAAAGGCAAATCTCACTAAACACTTTCAGGACATAATTACAAAGCATTTTCACTCCTCTGCTGCTATTGCCTTAAAGGAATTTGAGTTTCTGCTGATAGTTATGCTCTAACAGCTGGGGCCACTTTTGACCCACACACATGGATCTGATATATGTGGTACCACTATGGTCCTCAGAGAGATTTGGTTAAGATGTTCTTCAAGATCAGGCCCAAAGCATGAAGGAAAGGTGACTCAACTATTATGAAATATACGAGTACCATTGTAGAATTATTTTCTGTTTTCTCTACTTTTATCATTACTTTGTTGGTAATATTTCTAATTTTTTCCCCTGTGAAAAGACCACAGTTTAAAGCTCTCCCCCAAAGATATATTTCCTTCCAATAGGTTTATAGCTTGACATTTTTGCCTTTTATTCCCCTTGCAGCATACCTTTAAACATTAAAATATTTTTATGCCATGTGCATCTTACCAAGGAGCCACAGGTATTACGTGAAACAAGGAAAGTGCAGAGACAACAAAAGTGTCCCTTCTCACCAGAGTGTATATGCACCCTCACCCATTTTTTTCTCTGTTAATCATCATCTACTTCAAAACAGGGATTTAAAAGATCAGTCTGTCTTTCTTCAGATGAGGGCATCTTATCCACTACACAAGATGCTATAAAGACACCAGCTATAAAGACAGGTCTTCCCTCAAAAAGCTTACTATAAGACATCACAGTTGGACACAACACACCCAGAAGAAGAAAGAAAACTGAGACTTGCAGTGGTGTTTGGCAGAAAATCAGGTAAATTTTCACCCTGACAATATTCCCCTGTTAGGAGATCACTGGTAAGATGTGTATGACTACATGAATGCTGCTCAGTTGTATTTACCCAGCCAAGCTAATGCTGAGGGAAAACAGACAACTAGCCCATGGAAGTTGTATTCGTGAATGAGAAGACGCGGTGCTGGGCAGGATATCACAGCAGTTTGGGATTCAGATTTAAACCCTGGAGCCCCTGCAGATCTGGAGAAGGCAGCCTCTCTGACCTTCCAAACGTGTAGTATTTTGAGGGCTTTTTCTGCAACTGTTCTCTCCCTTAATCCTTTTTAAAGCCACTGCCAAGGAGGGAAGAAGTTCAAAAGACGAGAACTTAACAGTTCTCCGAGATCTCACAGGTGTGGACTCGGCAAATTTGGAGAAGAAGTCTGTTTCCTCCTTCCGTGTCCCTCTTTTCTCTTCCTACCTCTGCCTTGCCACATAGTCCCTCCATACTTCTGGAAGAATTCGATTTGAGCTTTGCTGTAACCAAACCCTACACTCCAGTAAGGTTCAGCTAAGAGACCTGATGAGGAAATGCTGCTGCTGAGAAACATCTGGGCTTTGTTTTGTGTACCCAAAGAGTTAAAATTATTGTCAGAAATAACATAATGTATAAAAGCTGCAAACACCCAACTGTAGTGTCAGACTGCCAAATTGTACAAATGTATTTGTCTCTCTTATTTGTAAATGTTATTTGAACAGAAATGGCACATTGTAACAACCTAACAAGAAGCAGGCTTTCTGATGACGTTTGAGACTTCTTTACTCCACTGCATGGAAATATTTAAGACTTAAAAGATTTATATTACAAAAATAGCATCGTAAATGGCTCAGTCCTGTTCCCAGTAAAGTCAAAGAGGGGGTTACTGTCAGCTTCAATGAAAGTGGCATAAGGGCCAAAATGAATTTAACATGATTTTTTTTCTATTTTGTTCCAAGAGTCAAGAAGTCTCTCCAAGAAGTCTACTCCTTAAAAAAACAAAAAAACAAAAAAAAATCAAGCAAGTTATCAAGCATCCATCACTGCCATGGCCAGATATGACCATCCATCGAGACCTCTGAATGTCAGAGCTCCACCACACACAGTATGTCAGGCACAGAGAAACACCATGTATTTCAAAAGTTAGGACTGGAAGGCATCTTTTGCCTTTTAAGATATTTTCTCACAATGTCCAACACACCGTCCCATTTGCTCTGAGACAAAGATTCTCATCTTATGCAGACACTTCAAAGATAAAAATCAACACTAACAACTAAGTAATACAATCTGATCCCTTAAAGGCATTAGAGTTTGAGTAAAGGCAGCAACCTCTGATTCATTTTCTTTTTTTATGATTGATAGATGCTAAATTAAATAATATAAATTAGCAAATAAGGCCATAAATTTTTATATCCATATTTCAATTTAAATAGCACGAGGACATTTATCTTCAACTGAGTTTTCCTATCAGCCTCCAGAATGAAAATGTCTCTCTTTGATGGTTTTTATGTTTTATGCTCAGAATTTTTAATAATTATTTGGAAAATGCATTTTGCATTTCTGTTGATCCTCAGATGTAAATAGCAAAATCATATCTAGCTTCTTGACAAAAGTTTACAGGAAACGTGGAAATGACATTCCTAATATTTAGATTATTCTTTCTTCTTTTCTTTTTTATTATTTTTCTTCATTTTTAGTAATTTATTTAGAATGATAAGCTCTGTTGGAGACCTTATAATGTGAATATGTGGGCTGGGACACCCTTCACTAGGTGAAGGTTGCTCCAAGTCCTGTCCCATCTGATTTTGGACACTGCCAGGGATAGGGCAGCCATAGTTTCTCTGGGCAACCTGTGCCAGGGCCTCACCACCCTGTTTCCCCTCTGGTGCCACACTTTGGTGTTCTGCTTGAAGAGCCCTAAGTGACCCTTTGAGCTTAAACATAGCCAGACAAGTTTCATCCCAGAAGTTTATGAGGGAAAACACAGTATTGTCATGCAAACTTGATCCAGTGATCAAGTTAGCAGAGACAGAGTAAAGCTGCACATCTCCTGAGAGTCCTGGGTGACTGCTGCAGTAGGGTGAAGACCTGGTAGAGCTGGGAAAGGGTACTACAAGGACAGGGAAAAAACCTTACAAACCCAAACCAGAACAAAACAACACGTATTTTATAGAGGAAAAAAAAAAAAAAAAAAAAAAGTAGGAATCCAGCTGTATATTTTAAAAAGGAAAGGTTAGAAAAACATTCAGGGAGAGCGCCCAAAAAGTTAATTTCCAGCAGCACTTGAGGCAGCAAAGTCTGGGAAGGCTCCTGGCGCCCTCTGGTGTGAGGCGGCAGCAGGAATGGAAATTTCCTCTGGAAAACACCTTTGTCTGAAGTTCAGGCAGATAAAATGACACTTAAGCGTCCCGATGGGAAGAGGGGTAATTTGAGTCCCCAAGCGAAGCGGGGCTTGGGGTGCAGCTTAGTTTTGGGGTGACGGGGAGGAAAGAAGGGAGATTGCTTTCTATTTTTATTCTTATTATTTTCACTTGGTTTTCATTTTTTCTCCGGTGTCTCAATTTGGGCCGGCTGCAATATGAAGAAAGGAGCCCTGAAAGCCGGTGAATGAAAACCTCGCAGGATCCTCGGAATAATGGTTGCAGCATGACAAACATTTTTAAAAAACAGTAAAACCTCCCAAATCATGCACGCCTGTTTCCCTCCCATCTGGAGTTTCCAAGGGAGGGACAGCCTAAACGAACACGGAGGAGAAATGTCTTCTTTAACACGACTTAAATAGTAAAAGGGAAAAGACATTGGGAAAAAAAAAAAAAAACCACAACAACAAAAAAAAACCCAACCAAAAAACAGAAAAGGCTTTCTTGACTTCAAGCACCTCTCCCTTAAAATTGAAGGACACACCCTCACCCAAATCGACATCCTTAATTTAATTGCCAGGAGACTGAGGAGTACTCTCTGCAACCAGGCTATGAATTCACATTTTTAACATATTTTTTTACATTTTTGCAATCATTAATAGCGATAATTGCTTCTTGTGAGAAACAAATGCACAAAAGCCCACCTCTAAATGCAAAGGGATCGACAGAGCAAACCGGTAAACATCAGGGTTCTTCCTTTAAGCATCGTCTGTGGAAATATACTCTAGTTTTAACCCCTAAAATTAAAAGGGGGGTGGAGCGCTCTGATCGGAGACAAATACACAGAGCTTTCCAGCTCATCTTTACCAGCTGTTTTTCCTTCATTCCCAGTATCTTCCAGCAAACGTACCTTCCAACCGCTGCCAGGAGAGGTGGTTTTGGCAGGAAGCGCTTTTTGATGGGGCGGCAGGGCCGGCCCGCGGGGTGCCCAGGTGGGAGATGTGACGGGAGATTCCTCTCGGCACCCTTTCCATGCGGGCAGGAGGCGCTGGGCTTCTCCCTCAGCTACGGACAAACTTACCTTAAAAACAAAACATAGGTTTATTACTTTTTCTTAATTATTTTTTTAAATGTTTTTGTTCGTTTGATTTTGTGTGTTTATTTGGTGGGTTTTTTTCTCTTTTAAAAAGGAAGCTTTTAATGCAAGTGCTTTCACGTCCTAATCTGACAACGCTTGACAAAGTTTGGGGATATTAGCGGCAAATCCCGGACTGCCGCTCTGCTTTTTGCATACCAACCAAAACACACTTCCTTGGGATAAAAAATGCTAAACTAAACACAATTTATTTAGTAAAAGCCAGCAGATTTCTGTCAAGATCCAGGCAAGGCTCCGCACCTATCCTGGTTTGTAGGTAGACAACGCGTGATGCTCTTCCACCCCAAGCTCCCCATCGAAGTGCTGTGAAAGAGAAAAGACACTTGTGGTTTTTTTTTTTTTTTTTTTTACATTAAAGGATCCATTTTACAGGCAGCGATAAGTCAAAGCAAACTATCGCCGAATTCTTGTAGGAAGGGTCATGCGCGGGCGGATTTGTCCTATTAATAGGACACAGGAAGAGCCGGGTGAGCAAACGCCTGCCCTGAACACAGCGTGGGATATTATTTGAAGTAATAGATTGAGAGCAGACACGAAATCAGGACTTTGTGAACGTTCAAACGCCTCGTTATTTCGCGTTAAATAACATCTTAGAAGACGCTCCCCCGCTTTTTCTGCTGGAAGGATGCGGGATTATTTGGAAGCATTTAAAATGGAGAGAAAAAAAAACCTGTATCCAGACGACAGCTCCCCGTGGGAAGCTAATCAACATTATAGCTAGCAAATGTTCTACTATTAAGGGCCACTTTGCCGCAATTGGTTTTAAATCATAAACATATAAATACAGGAAATCATTCTGAGACCACATCGGGGTTTACCTGGAAATGACGGGAAAGTAACAGAGTATTCCCGAAACTGTCAGTACCTTTCTGACAGTACCTGATAGTGGGCAGGAAAAAAAAACCCAAAAACCAGAAACAAACCACCTAACAAAAATACACACAAAAAAACCAACCAAACAAAACACAGGACACCCCCCGAGCCCCAGTGTCGCCGCGTTTAGGAGGAAAACGTACAATACGTTTCTAAAAATCCCGCTCGCTTAATTGTTACTTTTATAGTTAAAATATTGGCTGACACCGCAATAAAGATCTCAGTAAATTACAGACGATCTCAGCGGTTGAAGACATACCGAACATTTAAAACATGACCCTGCCAGTTAAAGAACTAAGCATTTAAGGTAGAAAAGACTCTGATAGCTATTCATTTTCCCTAATTAGGAATTAATGGGGTTTTTTAAGAATTCTTTTTACAACAGAAACTTCTTACAACAAAACAAGATTTCAGTATTTTTGCTTGTTTCGACCTTCCTCTTCACAAGCAGTAAAAAATGTAGAGTTCAGGAGGTGCTGGATTTTTGGCTGGTTGTATTTTATGTTTAGCTTTTAATTCTTGTTTGTTTGTTTTCCAGTATCCACTTTGTATCCATGTTTATTACATTAGTCCATTGCTAAAAATTTCCAGAAGAAAAAAAAATAAAACAAACCCAAAATTCTGGAGGCGACGAGTATGGCCTTACTGCATTTTTTTTTTTTTTTTAATTAACGGAAAGACAAAATTTCTACTGACAGGGTGGAAGGGAACGAGGCCCTATGAGAATCACTAGAGGAGTCAGGTGTAGTTCCCACCGGGCAGGATCCCTTCCTTTCCAGAGGGAGGGCACACGAGTGCCAGGCGGCAGCTGCCCTGCCCGAGAGGCACCGAAGGATCGGGGCTGCAGCGGGAGCCAGAACCAAACCAAGGGCTTTGCAAATATTCCCTTCCAAAGCGCAGCGAAAAGGGATTACACTGAATTATCAAGTACCCCGCAATATTCTGCTTCCATTCACGCTTCAAAAAAATTACTTTCCTAATAATCCATTAACTGCTTTAATGACCAGTGTTACTTATTCACCACTGCTCCGTGAAAGTTATTTGAAAATTCTTGGCGAACATGCACTACTCGAAGAAAGAGTCTCTCAAACAGGCAAATGCAGAGTTGGTCCGTCATTTTGCAAGACGGAGACGCCACTGGGATTTCTAGTTTCATTTTTAATACAAAGAAAATTATTTTCCTCCTTGCTAAGCACTTATTATTCCTGTGGATCTCCCTGGCAGATGCTGGGTGCTGAAGCCTTAGGAGAAAACGGGCTACCTTTTGACAAAGGCCTAAGTATGGACTTAAACAGTCTCACTTGAAGCACCCACATTAAAAAACAATAAACCCTACGACGTCATTTCAATCCCAAATTCACTGTACCACGCTCAGAGGATGACGTAAACAATGTGAGAGCTACAGAAACATTGTGCGAAACGGGAATTAAAACCAAACCAAACAAAACAAAACAATTTTTTAAAAGGGCTCTCATAACCGAAAAATGCTTTCAGGATATGTGACAGCCGCACTCTGGAGCAGGAGCTGCAGACTCGTCCGCTCCCCGAGGAAGCCACGGACACCGCAGCGTTACACGGGCAGTGGATGCCGCTGCCCCGGCACCCACCCGCGGGGGATGCTCAGCACAAGGACCGCCGGCTGAAAGAGTTAACCACCTAAACCCAAAATACTGCGGAGATCTCAGTAAAGCAAAGAAAGACAAATTAAAAGTATCAAAAATACACCCCCAAATACCAGCTTAGGACGGGCGGGCAGCAGCACAGCACTGCTGGCTCCCGGAGACTGAGCTGCTGCTCGGATTACCCTCCCCGACGCTCCAGCCACGGAGGGAAAGAACTTTCTTTTTTGTTATTGTTGGTTTGGTTATTTGTTGTTGTTGTTGGTTTGGGTTTTTAGTTTGTTTTTTGTTTATTTGCTTGTTTTCCCCCTTCAATGTCTCTTTTCTGTACGAAGCAGCAACAACCCCGTCCCTGGGCACTAGGCCTTGCAGAATCTCCCAAAACAGTTTAATAAACGGTAAAACCGGGATTGAGATATTCTGATTGGCATTTAGTTTTTATACATATAAAATATATAAAGTACATATTATGTATTTATATGCACATATAAAAATATATATCTAAGCTCCCTCCCCGGCATTTTCAATATATCGGGAAAAAGACTCGAGGTAATGCAAAGTCAGTAACATGAGCAGCTTTTCTCCGGCTCTGACAGGCTTTGTCTCTATGTCTGTGTCAGACTGCGCTCAATCTAAACCAACCGGATTAATCAGGACGATCCCCGGGTGATCCTGAGCAGCGTGACAAACCGCAGCGCTAAAATATCAAAATATCCCCGTGCCACTCTCTGCAGACACCTCGGGATCGTTTTACAGCGGCACATCTCCGGTTATCCCTCTGCTCTGACTGCCGGCCGCGGCGCTGGCTGCGGGAATTAAAATCCACCGTCGCACCCGGGGAAAGTTTTAAATCCCAGGATTCACTGTCCTCTTCACGAATAGTTAAAAAAAAAAAAAATAAAATAAATTAGGTGTAGTGATGCTAAAACCGTGACACGGGTGCCGCGCAAGTATTTTTAAACAATCGGTATGAGCTTCTTAAAAGGGCTAGTATAGTTTCAGCAGCCTTGTCTTTGGAATACACTTCGGAGGCCTGGAATGTTACGTGCTCAGTTACTCGGCAGGGAAAGGACAGCCCGGGAGGCGGTGGATGTTCGCAGTTTGGGGAATTTTTGTTAGCTCCGAGGGCAGGAGCCCCGAGGGGGAGCCGGCGGTCCCTACACATAGCACCACGCAGACGGCCTCGCCATTTTACACAGCCGCCGCTCCTGCGCATTACACGGGACAGCGGGGGGATCGCATCCAGGAGTGGCACAAGCGCTAATCCAGCAGCCAGGAAACCTCCAGAGGGGCTTGCGAGCAGACGAAGCCCTGCGCTGCTACAGAGGGCCCAAGATTTTAAAAAAACCCTCGTGATAACAAGGGAGGAGAGCCGCGAACTCTCCCAGTTTGTGCTTCCACGCACGGCCCTCCAAGCGAACACGCCTGGAGGCGAACACGCGTGAAATGAAGATGTCTGAGATGCCCCTCACGGCGGAGAAGGCGCTGCGCCCCGCCAGCCGGGGTCCCGCTGCCGGGCACCTCCGCGGGGCAGGGCGGGCCGAGAGCGGCGGGGGCGGTGGCGGAGGAGCCCAGAGAAAATGGAGGCGGGCGGGATCGCAGCGCTGAGTGGTTGCATGGCGGCAGCGAGGCGGTCCGAGCTTCGTGCTGAGGCGGGAGGGACTGAGCTTTCCCCCGCCCGTCTGGGCTTAACCGTGAGGCGGCAGCGCCACACCGCCCCGTCCTCCCCGGGCTCCGGACGCGGCTCGGCCCCTCACGGCGCGGCCCCTCAGCGCGGCCCTGGGGCCGTTCCAGAACGTTCCCCCGCGCGGGCCCTGCCCGCCCGGCATGGCGGGCCGAGGCCGCCCCCTGCTGCCCTCCCTCAGGGGCGCCGGGACAGTGGAACACGTCAAAAATAATAATTCACTAGGGAAAACTAGGGAAAACGTCATCTTTTAACGCTGGCTTAGCACCCTGCAGCATACACGCCTCCTCTCGCCTCCTCCCACCTCCCGCTGAGTGTGTAGTTTCTGTCAGGATTCTGTCAATTTTTTAATTTAGCAGTGTAAATTAAAAGCGCAGAGTTGCCAAGTAAAATAAATGTTGAGTTAAACTCAGCTGACCAGTGCAAGGCAGTTTCTTTTCCCTTTTTTTTATTTTTTTTCCCCTTTAGAAGTACTTGCCCATTTTATCAGCCCTTTGTGGTGATTTATGGTTCCTTTAAATGGTCCTGAATATCAGATCGCAAATACTGAAAATGTAAATCTGGTTTGTCTAATCTGGAGTTTAAGATATTCTTGTGATGTCAGGAAGTGATGGCTTATAAAATATTTTCATTTAATTAGGAACTGCTAAGAGGATTTCTGCAAGGAAAAAAAATAAAGGCAAGGAAGCTCAGCTTGAATTATTTATGTGCTATGAATTATCATGGTTGCTGCTGCAGCTTTTCA